GAAAGCCAGCTGGGTAACCTTGGGCCAGTCACTCTCTCTCAGTCCAGCCCATCTCGCAGGATTGTTGTGAGGAAAATAAGAGGCAGGAGTGTTAGGTATGTTTGCTGTCTTGAGTTGATACACACACGCACACCTGTAAAACACACACACACACACACACACGATAAAAATATGATGATGATGATGATGATGGAGGAGGAGGAGGAGGACGAGGAGAAATCTAGCATTGGTATCTATTCAGTGCTCAAAACTTCAAACACTTAACTTGTCCTGCCCCACTAACTCACATAAAACTGGCATTTTGGAGTGTTGCTGGTTTTGTTTTGCTTTTTAAGTGAATTACTTTCGTTCCCACCTGCAATTCTTGAAACTAAACATGTCATAAAAATGGAGCACAATATTCATGAAAGGGTTAGCAGTTTTTTCAGAAAGAAAGTTTGGATAGGGGGCAGAACAGCTGCATTTTCATACAGTTCTTCCAATTCGCAAGGTCCCAAGCTGTTTCACAGAGCAATGGTTACCTGCAGTGAGGTAAATTTGCAGCAAAGTGTCCGTGATCGTGCTGTGCTATGTCCATTAACCTTAATGCAGACTTCACAGCTAGAGGCCCATTCACTGCACTGAAAGTACATCTAAAGTGCAGCGTATAACAAATTGATAGAAAATATTATTAAATTGACAAACGGAACTTTCCATTTGCAATATACAGATAAACTCCATGAATGAATGACTTGGGGTAAAACAAATGGAATTCTACCACCTTAATGTAAAGAAGCCAAACCTGAAACACTGAGGAAGGGAAACAAATGCTTTTTCTAGTTGGTTGGGGCCACTGAGGTATCGAGTCACAACACTGCGCTCAGTGTGAGAATCCAAAATAAAGCACCCCGTTCAGATGGCTGTCAACCTCCTCTTGAACATATCCTCTGTTTGGAAACCTTTCTGATCGTTCAGCTGGTTTCTAGGGTTGTGCGGCACGTTGCGTTTGAGGCACCAAATGGGATTCAGAGTGAACCGGGGGGGGGGGCAGGTACCACCTGCCAGAAACACTTTGAAGAACAGCTGCATTTTTTCTCAGCATCACCCACTGACTTACCGTGGATTCACGCGGGTACCTACTGTTTAAAAATGTATTTATTGATATCGACATGTGGACAGCCAAGGTTATATCATGTGGCTTGCCCAAGGACTATGAAGTTACTCTATCTGACACGTATCTTTAGATCCTGGAATTGGGGGGAACGTCAGAGTGGGAGGGGGGATGGTGGACCATCTGGAATTTTGGAGAAGCGTGATTTGAATTCTCTCATAAAATAGCAGCTGTGCATAACCCATTACAAAAATTTCTTCACCAATAAGGCAAATGGTTAGAATTTTTCGCTGCAACCACTCTGCCCAGCCCAATGTGCCCTTCTTGGCATATCTCTGTCCTTTTCTTTTCTGGACTGCTGCTGAGAACACCTCCAACACAATACACCTAAAGCATGTATCTACTCTGTATTTATGTGTATGCGTATGTGTATCATAATTCTGCAAAATGCAGACATACATACGATATGGTACTGGGTGCAAAAATCAGCAATGGGAAATTTGTAGATGTTTCTGAACATATACTTAGAAAAGTGGGCGAGTGCTTCCTAAAATCTCATGAGTCCAGAGTAACTGCTGAATTAGGTACTTAGTGAATATTAGACTGCAACCATCATGCATTATTTGTCCATCCCTATGTCTAGCAAAACCAGTTAAATTACACAAAATTATACATATTTGACCCTTCCTCCAAGGTAAACAAAACAAATTTATTTATTTGTTTATTTTGCATGCTAATCATAATTCAAGCAAGGCAAATGACAACTACAACAGAGGATAACTCAGCTAGACTCCTGCTTTCCTTTTCGATTCAGCTATTACCACCAGCTGTTCTGGGGAAATAAGACAGATGAAGTCTATACTGAAGACATCTCAGTTGGCCTCTTCCCTCCCTCCTTACAGTGCCATTATCACCAACCACTCTGAGGAAAGAATTCTAGAAGAGATGATGATGATGATGATGATGATGATGATGATGATGATGATGATGATGATGATGATGATGATGATGATGATGATGATGATGATGATGATGATGATGATGATGATGATGATGATGATGATGATGATGATGATGATGATGATGATGATGATGATGATGATGATGATGATGATGATGATGATGATGATGATGATGATGATGATGATGATCATGCAATCCTAGTCATTAGATATACAGCTGAAATAGTGGACTGGACTCAAGCTGAACTAAAATAAAAGTCCTGGATAGGAAGACCACAAAAATAATGACAATGAATCATGCCCTTCATCCACACAGCAATGTTGACAGACTCTACTTACCAAGGAGCATAGGTGGGCGTGGAATGTTGCAAGGGCACCAGACAGTTGAAGAAGAAAAATGGGCATTGGAAGAATATCTGAAGGACAGTGAAGAAAATGCACTGAAGCTAGTACACCACAAAGGCTTACTGAATACCAAAGAAACCAAACTGGCCTATAAGAAAGACCAAACGAAGAACAGAAAAGAGACACGGCAAGGCAAAGTATTACATGGCCAGTATACAAAAGAACTAGTAGGTAAAGCAGATAACAACAAGACCTGGCAATGGCTAAGAGCAGTTGAAGAAAGAGACAGAGGGGCTAATTCTGGCTGCACAAGACCAAGCCTTAAAAACAAATGCA